GCACCAAAGACACTTGATTCAGTCTTGCCACAGTTACGTAGCTACTGATCCCTGCCTTTGTTCTTGCCCAGCCCCTTGTTGAGGCACTTAGCACAGTGCATGGATGGGTAGAGAACAAAGGCACTGGCGGGAGACACAGGGACCTGAGCAAGGCAGGGTGGAGCAAGGCAGGCTTCCAGAAATGGACAGACTACAGAAGCCCCCAGACTCTGGCCTCCTGACCTAAACACCAGCCCCTAAACACCCAGAGGATATTTATTCCCCTGCCTTACACACTCCAGCTCCAGTCCTCTGTAGTCTTCTGACCCTAATCAGGAGGTCCCTTGAGGGCCAAGTGCAGGAGTCACAGTCCTCCTGCCATCCCCACCCCCACTTCACTCAGAGATACAAGTCACTAGGCCCATAGCCCCTCCCCTGTTCTCCTGTCCCCACCCAGGAACACAAGCCCAAGCAGACTGCTCAGACAGCCCTTTGTCTCTGGCCTGCTGGTCTGGAGGCCATTGTTAGTACCGTAAAGACAGCCTCTGTCTGTCCATCCAGCCGCAGGCACTCGACAGGCACGCCTGGGACCCAGCCTGAGCTGGCAAGGCAGAATGCACGGACACTCAACTCCTGGGGGAGGAGTGTTGGCAGGCAGCACCACCTCAGTGCCAGCCTGGCACCACCAGCCTCTTAGCCACAAACCTGAAACTAGAAACAACCCTGCCCCTGCACCCCAACATCTGCCTGCTCTCTTAGCCACAAACTGGAAACTGGAGACAACCCTGGCCCTGTACTCCAACATCTATATGCTCAGTCCTATTTCCAGGCCCTTCCCAGATCTGATCCACATCTGATCCCCCCCCTTGCCTCTGAGTTCACCTCTCCCACCAACAATTGATGCTTACTCTTCGCCCACCCTCCCCAGTGAAATTCAGCAGGTGGCTGTGGACGTCTTGGGCTTACCATGAGGATGTCTGCAGTGATGGCCCAGTTAGAAAACAGCAGTGTCTCCCCAACAAAGATGCAGATCTATTCATAGAGAAGAGAGCACCATGAGGGGCATTGGGCAGGGACACAGGACCCTTCCTATGGGGATAGAGGACCCAGCAAGTCAGACTACATCTCTAGCCCATCTTCCCCAACTTCGCAAGGACTCACATAAGCTCCCACAATGCTGGTCTTGGCAGCCACAAAGATGAGGCAGATGAAGATGGCAGATCCCAGCATGCCCACAGCACACACCAATGGGTCAGCGCGCTGAGTCCGCAGGCGGCACCAGCGAGTGGCTCCCGCACCTGTGACCACGCCCAGAAAGCCAGTAAAGCAGGTAATGGCCCCAAAGATGAGGCTGTGGGGAGAAAGGACAGTAGAGTGTGATTTGAATAAGATCATGGTTGGGACATGGTTGAGACACCCAGTCCCTTGTGTCCAGGTTTTACCTGTCTTTGGCTCCACAGGGTGGGCTGTTGCATGTCTCTGCTGTCTTTTGTACAACTTGAGCACGATGCAGGTAGAGGGGAATCCACATGCCCAGGGCCCCTGTGGCGAAGGACACAGCAGATGTGGCCAGGGAGGAGAAGACATAGCTGCGGCTGGGAAGAATCCAGGGAGGGACACTGAGTTGGTGCAGCAGGAGGAGGCAGCCTATTCTCCCACAGATATAAATGCTCTTTCACTGGCCCAGGTGAGGATTCAGGATGCAGGAACAATAAACTCTCAAGCCAAAATGTCATTCAGCACTACAGGCAGTGGAGATGGCAGGTGAGTGTGGGTGGACCTCTTGGGGCCTCTCTTCGAGGCCTCCTCCTACCACACCCTGCACAGTGGCACTCACTTTCGGATCAGAGCCTTCATGTCTCGAAGCCATGAGGTCCGTGCTTTGAGCTGCCCCCCAAGTTGATCAGCATGGCCTCTCTTAGTGGCTGGGACCAGGATGAGGATGAGAGTTCCTGTGATCATGCCCAGGACAGGGGATACCTGGTAGGACAGGAAATGTAACGTTTGAATGCCAAATAGACTTTCTGTGTTGCACAGGAGGGCCCAAGCCACTGTTCCTTATCTGAGCTCCAAGCCATTTTCTTAGGCTTATATTTGCTCAGATGAGTAACAGAAAGGCCAAGCAAAGCCACTGAGGATGAGGCCAGGGAAAGGGTTAGGGGGTTCAAAGTGGACAGTCCAGACCAAAGGCAAAGCAGGAAAACATGTTCAAGGAGGACTGACAGACTTCAGGGAAGACAGGAAGGGAGGTGGATAGAGAAGAGGGAAAAGGGAAGGAAGTGAGAGAGATGGCTCAACAGATGAAGAGAGGGGAAAACAAGAGGATGGGTAGGTAAATGCATGGATGTATGGACAAGTAGGTGAACGGGTGGGTGGCTGGCTGAATGGGTAGATGGAAAGAAAGACAGGTAGAAGAAAAGCAGAGTGAATGATGTCTTTGAGTAGAAGAGTTCATTTGTAAGGGCAGAGAGCCATATGCCAACTTGCCTAACCCCTAGGGCTAGGAACGTTCCCAGGTGTGTCCCTCGAATATGAACATTAGGTAGGGATTGGCCAGACAGGTGGCCTGTTCTTTACAGGGTCCTATATGAATTTTGGGTCTTCCCTGTGTCCAGCCTCATGGTAAGAATGGAACCTGCAAGGCTCCAGGCCTCTCTCTACACAGAACCAAATACCAGCCCAGAAGAAAAGAGAAGTTTGCTTCTCCCAGGCCTGGGAGTTGTGGGCTGGGGAGCTCTTCTACATGCAATCCCTCCACCCTATGGCTCACCCCCCCCATCATGGAATTCTACGGTGGCTGCTTCCTTCCTGCTTTTGAGGAAAAAACACTTTGTCTTGAGCTTCCGTTCCTCTGAGAGACGGGGGATCTCTGTTTCCTCCGATTGCACTGTCCTGGGGCCTTGGTGACTTGCCCCAACCCTCCAACAGAACAGGAAGTGGCTCCAGACCCTACGGGCCCCCACAAAGAGATCTTGTCCCAACATCGCCCTAGAACAGAGCCAGGGCTGGAAGCAGGAAGCTGTGCTGTGGACCTGGAATTTCCTGATGCCAT